CTCAACACTAAGAAAACGCATTCAATAAATATCGCAACACTGAGAAAACGCGTTCAATAAATATCTCAACACTAAGAAAACGCGTTCAATAAATATCTCAACACTAAGAAAACGCGTTCAATAAATATTGCAACACTGAGAAAACGCGCTCAATAAATATCGCAACACTAAGAAAACACGCTCAATAAATATCGCAACACTAAGAAAACACGCTCAATAAATATCGCAACACTAAGAAAACACACTCAATAAATATTTCAACACTAAAAGAAACACATTCGATCAATATTACAACTCTAATTACAAAAACAATCGTAACAAACCGCGATCATTTAGTATCGCGACACTAAATAAAATCAAAACCGATTACTCTTTCATTCGCAACGCTATCGTAAAATAGGGAAGCAATATCAAATTATAATTGAATGTTACAATAATCTTATCAAACACGATTTGTCTTCATCATACGCAACTCTGTTATTAACATCATTTCAGGGAACAACTAAAATTGATTTTAATCAAAATCACGATTACATTATTCGCAACGCTAAGTCAAATCGTGATCTTTCTTTCGCAACGCTAATTAAAAATCGCGAAATGCCCATTATTGCTGGTCGATGGGGCGGCTATGGCCAGCCCAAATTAACTACAACTACAACTACAACTACAACTACTAGAATTAATGTGAGTACAGTGACAAAGTAGTGACATGAAAATGGCGCTCCATTTACATGCTAAAATGGAGCGCCATTAATAGTTGCCCTCTTGAGCGACATTTTGTCGGGGCCTCTTCGGCATATAGCCTCTTGCATTCCTGTGAAATAATGCTCGATATCGAACTAGCATAATCAACAAATCAAAAGGATCATCAATCTTCCGAAGGGACTATAGAACGATTTCGTAAATTTTGTAAAATTTCGTAAAAAGAAAAACTGGAAAAGTCGCGGTCGAAGCAGGTAAATAAACGGCATGCTTCGCGTTTTGTTATCTCGATTCTCGTTCATAAATGCAGCTATAAATTAGTTTAATCCGTAAAAGGCCGTCTCCAAATACCTGCAGGTTATCAACTATCGACTCGGATTATCGAAATTTAAAATCAACTACACACGTAGCGATACACATTGTTAAAATATTGATCACTCAGCATTATTCATTGAAATTCGTATTAAATTATCACTTATTTCACTTAATCCAACATTGCAAGACACAAATTTTCAGATTTGTTGATTATCGTGTTCGACCGAACAAGAGGAAGAGAAGGAACAAAAAATGCGCACCTATTTCATGGTAGATTTGTTTTTATATATTTAAATTCAGCAGAAAATAGAAGTAATTAATGCAGAATGATGATCCTGAAAATCCTAGCTAAAAAATTGTTAATTTCAAGCACTAACGGGCTAAGATTTTCTGATTTTATTCCAAAAATGACTCGAATTATTTAGAAAAATAAAGATTGTAATAGATTGTAATTTATTTAAAGACAGACTGTAATTTTCTATGGATAAGAATATATTTTAATATGGAAATGTACTGTTCTTTAAAGAGAAATACGTAATAAAAATTGAAATATAAAGAATGACACTTGAGCAACATTTTAATTAGAATTAATTTGATCTGAATAAATGAGAAATATTTAAAAACCCTCAGGCAACACCTTCGTCGAAGCAAGCGTTTTTAAAATGGAAGAAAAAGTATTTCATCATTGTAACTTCGACTCGTGTGTCTGCCTGTCGCGAATTGTTTTCTTGTACATTATTCTATTATTACATTCACGCAATTAAACAAACTTCAGTGCGAACAAACAGTCATTTTAATCATTAATCATTAGAATTCTAGTTGAATTTTGAGAATAAAAAACCAGAGACAAAATAATACATATATATAATCAATATATCAGCATATTTTCATTCACTTCCTTTAACATTTATATTTAATAATCATATACGGAACTATAAAACTTCTTGCAATTCAATAATAAATCACATTAATGCAAATTCTATAATTAACATTAAACGCGACGTACAAGAAAACCCTATCCTATCTAAAAAATACACACAGAAATCTCACTACTCTCAGATATAAATCATATCCGAGGTCACTGTACTCGCAAAATCAAAAACTACTGAAATAGTTCTACCAGTCACCGGTGCCATTACGGACCTTTCGCCCTATGACATGATCGGTAACCGGAGTAAAAGAAAGCATGCGACTCACCGTTCGTTGCCACAATCTGCACAGAACTCCGAACAAATTGATATGTATGGTTTATCCTGGATGACCACCGATCAGCATCCTCCAGCATCCTCCAGCATCCTCCAGCATCGATTAATATTGGCAAACACTCTTCAACATTGTCCAATATTGTTCAATAAAGTCCAACAGTGGCAAACACTGTTCAACATTGTCCAATACAGTCCAATAAAGTCCAATAAAGTCCAACACTGGCAAACACTGTTCGACATTGTCCAATAAAGTTCAATAAAGTCTAATGCAGTTCAACATTGTCCAATATAATGTTCAATAAAGTCCAACACTCTTCAACATTGTCCAATATAATGTTCAATAAAGTCTAACACTCTTCAACGTTGTCCAATATACTTTTCAATAAAGCCTAACACTGTTCAAGAAGACCGAATGAAACCACAAGAAGCCCGACGACCACAACAGCGCGAAAAGGACTGACTGTCTAAGATACAAGAGAGGAGAGAGCTCCTTCGCGAACGGCAACTCACGGAGAACTGATTCTAAAATTTCGGAATCATGCATCCCATATTTCGTCCCTCATCGGCGATATTCGGCGATTTCCGGTCGCACCCGCTACCGGTCCCCACTGTTATTACCTGTGGCTATTGAACTATTGAAAGAATCTAAGGAATTTTGGGGTACTTTCCTTCTGCGAAATGGGTTATTTACTTCACCCTATTATGAAGTATTTCCTGGAAGACCCACGGTAACTGCGCGTCCGTAATAAAAATCGCGGTGGCCGAGCGATTATTAAATTCCTGGAATTGATCGACAATGGGTTGCGGCCAGTGCGAAAATATTTTATTTCCTACGCACTAACCATTGGAATTTATATTCTGTTATCATTTATTTCACCTTCTTTGGAATTTTAATGTCGCAGAAACTGAATTTAATATTCACCGAAACCGATGAAAACTTTGCGCTTGAGACGATAAACTTTACCGTCTAATAGTTTGACTATTTTACCGTGGACGGCGAACATTATAAATAAAAATATTAAATATTAAAGAAACGCGCTACAGCATCGCTATCCTTCTCACTCCCATACAGCTTTCCTTGTCTTAATTGTCACGTTCTTACGGAACACAAACCGATCCGAAAATCGCAAATAACTCATTAATTACGATTCAGATGTGATTCCAACGGACACTGTAATATTCCTAAGGGTCCATTCTAATTTCTTCAATCGCAAATGTTCACAATTTACGTCTATTAACTGAGAAACTTAATAATTTACTCGGTAGCTCTCAACAAATTCTACATTATCTCAGAACATCGTTCCAAAGAATAATTAATAAATAATTAACCCGAATGAAAATCCTAACGATAGCGGTATAGGAAAGTAGCGAAAGGTCTATTCTATGATTCTATGCTGCAAATATTCACGAATCATTCGCGTAAGTCGAGTTATTAATGATTTCGCTGAGGATTCTATTGTTTTGTTCTATTTTCAGAGCGCATGCAGTTCATAGTTATCGCCGCTAGATGACAGCACTTCTATGTCTATCCTTGTCTTACACCAAGGAGCGCATAAGTGTATCCTTGTCGGATACCTCCTTGGTCCTGATGCTTCACGAGTAGGTACCAGGGACTGATGAGATGCTTTTTCGAAGGAGGTGGCATCGGGAACACTATCTCTATCCTTGTCGCACAGTAGCTCTGTCCTTGTCTTACACATTACGAGTATAGGGAGAAGCTTCGAAAATGCCCTGCCGTTAGATGGCGATGCTGTCGCTTGCAACCAAAATTCTCCATCCTTGTCTTACTCGTTGCGAGGATAGGGAAAATGGAAAAAGCTGTGGGTGTGGGTGTGATTAGAGGAGTGAATTGCTTTATTAAACAAATATTTCTAAAACCTAGACCTATGGCTATTTTGTTTAATAAATATTAAACAACAACAGATGTTTCTAGCTTCTCTAGTGGCTTGTGAGTGAAATGCTCGGATCAAGAAATAAAATATTCCTAGGTAAAGCTACATTACGCAAGCGTGAAGCGATAATATGTGAGTTTAGGTGCAGTAGTAACATCGTCGATGGCGTATGACATTACAATATGGAAACAATTGATTTGAAGAATTTGAAAACATTGTGCAGAATCTTTTCATTGATAATTATATCACATGTCTTTGACTTTGTGTCAATGAAAAACTCTTTTGCAGGTGGTATTCGTACGAGACATGATTGGTTGCATTAATGATTCTGAAGATAATGAAGATACTAACTTAAAATTTGGTATACATTTCTCCTTGACAACTTTGTTCTTTTATATATTGTCGTGTTTGTAACTGAAGATAATACTTCCGTCGTTGTAGGTTAACAATGGCAGATACTGAAAAGGCATTTGCTTGTTCTTCATCCGGTTGCAGTGTGGTAAGTCATTATTTATATCTATTTTATGCTTAATCTATAAGAGTTTGAATGGACCTTGATGATACTAAAGTGTATGATTTATTTGTGCAGAGTTTCACGAATGAGGATCAGTTGTTAGTGCATAAGAAGAAACATGATATGATGTTAAATTTGGGTAATGGTTCTAAGAGTGCTGGTTTTGTAGGTAATAAAGATATAGTTATTTAATTAATTAGATGGTTGGTATAGAAAGTAATGGAATTATTTGTAAACTGAATAGCTGATCAAACTCCCACACCAACACGTTTTATCAGAAACTGTGAAGAAGTTGGTCTGTTTCAAGATCTGCAAAATGTAAATCCTTTTGAGGAAACATTTAGAAGAGCAGTGGAATCTGGAAATACTGGTACACTTTCAGTGTCAGAGGTGCTTATTGTATTAATGAATGTAAGTAATTTTGTCCTATTTAAGTTATCTATAATTGCCATATGTTTCTTTAGGCTGGAATTACAGATGATACTCTGCATACTCCTCACATATTTCCTCATATAGCAGATGTACTCGCCGGTAGCAATCAAATTCTTTCTGAAAGTAGTGTTCAGGAATGTTCCAGCAGCATTTCGATTGCAGAAAAAGGTACAGATGGAAGTACCAGCATAGATGCAGAGGTTTGTACCAATGTAAAGCTTACAAGATCAGATGAACAGGACTTATTAAAGAGTAAAGTAACAGTGGAAAAGAATGAGACGCTTGTAGAAAATATTATTAATCAAGTTACAAGTACCCAAATAGTACCAAGGGTGTTAGAAGAACAAGTCGGTCCACAATTGTAAGTTACTTAATCTTCAAATTAATTATACGTGCCATTAACTGTATTGTATATAACTTTAAGATCAATAAATGGAGAGGAGGTACAGTTGCTATTGAAAACAGCTGATGGTAAACTAATGCAACTATCCGCGATACCAGTATGTGAGTCTATTAACATGAGTGTTGCACAATCCTCATTAAAACAACAAACTGTTGTGATAAAAACTGAGCCACCTTTACAATGTACTAAAAAGGTAGAGCTTAAGAAGCCAATGAGCCCCTCATTGTCCTTAGCAAAAATGGTATTTAATATTGCATGGACCTTTTTAATTACCATCCAGGAATATCCCGTTTGCGAATGTTTTCTCCATGTGTGATTGCAGAAATTGAAACAGGTGTTAATAAAAAGCACAGCTTCGCAAAACAATAAACCAAACGACAATTCCGGGAAGCATGAAACAAGCACCGCGAAAAAGGAGAATCAAAACAAAACGGTAGACCATATGAAAAAGAAAGAGATTCTCGAACGAAATCGTGCGAGCTCCATGAGAGCCAGAGCGAAAAGAAAAGCGTGGATACAACAGCTCCAGAGGACAGTCGCGAACGTGAATGAGACTAATGTTGCTCTTCAAATGGAAATAAAGGTTTTACGTGCGGAAGTGGCTAAATTGAAGGCTATTCTATTAGCCCATAAAGATTGTCCAGTTACAAAGGCGATACAGAAAGGTAATTACAATCCAAATGATGAATTCTAATCTAATTTCGATTCAATTTTATATTTATGACTATTTTTCTCTTCAGGAAGTGGAATAATACTCGAACAAAAAGTGATATCGTTAACTCCAGATCTGACTACCAGTTCAGCAACGCCAATAGGACTTCCCATAAAGAGATCGATTCCGTTCTCACCTTCTGAAGTTCCCATAGCCTCCAAGAAGAAGTTGTCCTTGGCACCCACGAAGAACCCAGTTATTTTCCCTAAAGTCGATTGCAATACGAACTTGACGATTCCTAGCGCTACTTTAATTAAGACTGTACCTACGCTTAAGATTATGGGAGTTAGTCAACTTCTAACGGAAAAGGAGGAGACTAAGCAGATTCTAATTGTACAAAATCCATCTAGGAAAATGGAGACTTCTCCTAGACAAATCATTCAAATAAATCCGAATTACGAGATAGACCATGGCTCGTCGAAAAGCACGGGAGTTTAAAAATACCGCGTTGTACCCCTACGGAGATCCGAAATCTTTGCTCGAGCATCGATCGGCTGTTAAATTTATTTTCTCCAAAGGAAGGAAAGGAATAACGTGGGGCGTGTATATAATACATTTTTTTATTTATTTACCGAAATAAAGAGGAGTATTTTGTAACAATGTTCATCATTATCCTGTCTCGACGAAAGGAAATAAATAACGGACATATCATGCGATAACATTTCAAATCTTTATTACTCATTAAACAGCAAAGCATTCGTCGCGTTCGTCGCGTTACAAATATTCAAAGTATGTTTCCTCGCGTTTAAGCTAGTCCCACGATGATTCTGTGACCCTCGGGCCCTTATCAGTTCTCCGTCCAGTCGTCTAAAAACTCTACACCGGACAGGAGAATGATAAGGGACTTTGGGCACGGAGCTCCTATCTTCCATGTAATATTTATCGAAATTCCATTTATTCCGGTTCCAAAAGTTTCCTCTCTCCTCGGCCGCTCGATGGATCCACGGCTGAAACGAAATTCACGTTAGCATTAGTAGACGGAAAGGACAACGATATTTCCTACCGCCGAACGCTGCAGATTTCCATCGCATAATATTATCTAATCGCAAGTGAAATTCATGTTTGCTCCCGATTACGGAACATAGCGACGTTGGCAAGCAATCTCGTGTTTTGTCAGCGAGTTCGCGCCACTCGAGGACCAACCGGGTACAACCGGCGTAACATATTGACCGAGCACATTAAAAAGAAACGCCTCGTTTTTCGACAAACAAGATTCCCGTCGTCCCTTGAGTCACGGCTGTGACTCAGACCGGTGAAGCACAACGGGCCAAGTGAGATGTAACTGAAATTATCGGTCGCTCTGCAAATACCCACGGTTTCCCTAGACCGATAACGCTCGAGGGATCGATAACGAAAAAGAATCCCTCTTTCATAAGCTTTCAGCCAGTCGCGCCTGGAAAAGCTGCAGAGACGCGAAACCAGATACAAAGGAATGTCCTTTCGATGATTCCGTTAACGCGCTGACCACCGAGCGATTGATAATAACGTGATTCATAGACCATGAATTTCCGTCAACAGAGTTATTGATAAGTACAATGGATATCAAAGGATTTACGTCGCAGTAGTATATTACAGGCGTTACGATAGAAGTAGACAGAAGGTTCAATCGACGAGTTAACTCGTCTTCAAATGGCTGAAAGCTTTGGCCGACGTAGCACGGTGGTCGACGCGTTAACGCGAGGCACCGTCGAAGCTCTCGTGCGATCAGAACATCGGGAACGCACGGGGGACATTCTCGGAATCCTTCTACACATTTCGGTTTCGCAGTTTCGAGTCTCGGATAAAAATAGACCGCGTCGCCCCACGCGGCTGCCCAACTTTTACGGCCCTGAATCGAGTCCTCCGCGTGGCTATTATACAACGCGCCATCCCTAACCTTGGACCAGACCAGCCAGTTTCTTCAGTTTTTCAATCATTACGAAGAATCGTATCGCGGAGTAGTTCTCGGCCGAGTTTCGCGCCTACGAAAGAAAAACCCGGCCTGCCTCGGACTCGCGATTACTTTCGGAATAAACACTGAATCCCGTGAACGGACCGCTTTTTACTCGAATCGATCGGCTTAATCTTGTTTACCGTGCGATTTTCATTTATAAGGGACGCACGGGACTTCCAATTAAAAGCCATTATACCGAGAAGCAGAGGCAGCGCGCGCGCTGAATGAATCCTTGTTTTGCAGCAATCCACAGTCGGATATGGATGTTCAAAACTTTGCACCGCAAAGCCGCGAAATAGGAAACCACGAAACTTACGTTGCGCCGCGTTATATCCGAGGGGTGACTAGAATGGATGCAACGATTTCAATGGTTTCCGGAATGAACGGGGAATATTTATTCTGAAAACACCACGGTTGATGCGCGTTTCACGGGGCTTCTAGTCATCTGACAATAGAGATACCAGGTGGATCAAAATGGTCCTAATTTCTTCCGTTACAGTAACCAAAAACACAGATACGCTTCTTTGAGAAATTCTTAACGAAGCTCGGTAACGCGCGAATTGAAATACGCGCCGATGGAAGTAGTAAATAAAAAGGTCGGTTCAAGTGTTCGGCAGTTCCAGCGTGAAATCAGCGAGCCGTAGTTGAACCGATATCGATCCGATCGGCGTCGCGGCACTCAGCGCGCAATGAATTAAGAGATCACTAATCAGACGCAAATGTGACCCAGTTACCGTTCACGGACTTCTATTTTCCCGGCTTGAACCTGTCGGCCCGTAGAAACGAGTTAACTCGTCACTCGTCATTCAATTCTTGCAATTAAATTGTACCGCAGCATCCGTGGCGGCGTGAATCCTATTACGTACTCTCACGCGTACTTCACCCGCCGTTCCAGATCGTCGCCGTTCGTGTTTCAAAGCCTGTACCGGGTGTGCCGAGATAAAAAGGCACGCACGCGTTTACCTGGTTCTATCGGGCTCGAATTAGTCCGAGACTCTCAAGGTTCCAGCGAGTCGTCCCGATCTCTCGGATAAAGCGAGCGTTATCTGTCACGGAGCTGTTACGGTGGTTATCGCTGGCCGAGCGTTCGCGATTGGTAAGCGCGGTGCGGCGCTGCGCGCCGAGCGAGGCGGTCTTGGACACTGAACTCCCCATAAATAGACGCGAAACATTTCTTTTTTTTACGGCATTCCGCTGTTTTCTAAGGCTCATAGGAGCGTATAAAGATGGACGAAGGTTAAACGTATCGGAGAGCCGCAGGAATGCGCCGCGGGAACACGTGGCTCGCGCGGTGTGCCCGACCGATGCAACGCACGTGCAACGATGTCAGCGGAGACCGTCAAAGAAGAGGGAACGCTATAAAAAGCAACATTGTATCGCGGCTTCCTGGGAACGGGCGGCCGGAAAATAAACCAAGGAAACGCCAGATACCATATCGTCGGAACGCTCGAGCTCGTAATCGTTAACCTTCCTCGTTATCTAGCGATCGGTCGATCAACGGTGACCGGAAGACGATCGGCGAAGGGACAGTCCGCGAATTTCCAAGAGTCTCCTCGGGATCGCTCCTCGAGACGATTCCCCGGAGGAAACGGTCTCGGGCGAGATTACGAAACGATTAAGAAACCAAGTAGGACGGTGAAATAATGAAACGAGACGTTAAGGGTGTAAGTCTGCTGATTTAAGGGATGAAGAATCGGAAGGTATCACTGAATGGCACCAGAGACTCGCATAGAAATCTATGCCAGCTGAGAGAAGTATCAGCGGAGTAAGAAATGATTTACGATATCGGTCGTAAAGTTCAACGGAGCGACGAGTTCGCGAGGGTACGGTGGCATTATTTCCCGTGGAGTGTTCTAAACAAATGTGTCGCCGGAAAAGATCATCTCGGAAGGATCAATCGCGAATGGCGGGGGACTGCAGGCGGTTCGGCCGCGACGCTGGTAATCCGCGAAGTTATTCTCGAAACTTTGTCGCAATTCCGCGACGTATTTGGAAACTCTCGAGATAAATTGTATCGTTTAGGACGTACAATCGGCGCTACAAGTTTCTCCGGCGGAATCCCACGGTCCGAGGAGCGAACGTTCGAATCGATGGAAGCCGAATTTCGTGGAGGACCGCCGCGTGCTTCCCGGTATCGAGCGGTAATGGAATTCTCCCGGTTGAAAGAGGAAGTCGCGCGACGGGGCGAGCGCGTTTTCCATGAAAGAATTTTTTTAATGTCGCGCAAACATACACACGGGACGGCGATAAGAGTGGCCGCGCGTGTACATCCGAGTTAAAAGACCTCGGGGGGACGGAATAAAATCGGCGGCGAGATGAACGCGCGATCCTATCGTCCGACGAATAAATACAGCGACCTTTTCGACTGTTTCCGGAGCGGTTCTATCGATACCCTTTGGGAGAAGCCGGTGAATTCGTGTTCCATCGGTTTCGTTTCGAGTTTTCCCCTTTTCACGGGTCCGCCGGGGTGCTCGATCGACTGGAACGGCCCCGGGCAAAGGCTAGAATATGAAAATGACCGATGTTACAGTTCCCTTCCGAGGTCGCGGTGCCCAAAAACACTTCCGTTTGGCAGCCAGTGCGCTCTTACGAGATTCTGTGTTTGTTCCACCGACAGTACGGTCCTGGCTGAGACAATACACAGCCCGATAGCCTTGA